CTCTCTCTCTCTCTCTCTCTCTCTCTCTCTCTCTCTCTCTCTCTCTCTCTCTCTCTCTCTCTCTCTTTCCTGTTTCCTTATTATCAATATGATCATACCTGAGTTTTTCATCGCTTTTTTAATGCGTGCTTCAATTTTCTTTTTTATTTTGATTATTAATTAGCATTTGTTCTCTTTTTTTCTATCTTTCCATTTTATAACATAATGCGTTATATTTGCTACAATATATTGTTTTCTTTTTCATTATATTTTTATTTATATACTGTACTCCTACTATTTTGTGTGCCTAAAAGGATTTTATCCCAAGACTTAACCCTCTCTCTCTCTCTCTCTCTCTCTCTCTCTCTCTCTCTCTCTGTGGCATCCTTATGGACTTACATATGACGGGAGTCATATTGCATATCCGTGTGCTGCTTCGTCGGCAAATTTACACTCTCGCGCGGAGGGTGCTTGACCGAGCGTCTCTGAGAGAGAGAGAAAAAACAGAAACATCGGCCTCGCGAGTGCGATGGATGGCGGATCAGCGGAGCGTGGCCTCACCTGTTCCTCCCTAGTGGCTCATTGTTGGGCGCAGTTAGCCGCGGCTCTTCATAGTGCCCCGCCGGATACGCCAGCGCGCTCGACTGTATGCTCCACTAACTCCAACGTCCACCGCGACGTCTTCGTGACCGCGGAGCGCGGGCGCTAGGACGCAGCGGGAAAACCAGTTCGCTCCAACGGTGCTACGTTTTTTGCGAGCCGATATTCGCGAGCTGGCGCAATGCAGCCTGCAGTGAGATATCGGCGTGAGATAAAGTCGCCTAGATTTCGACAGGCATGGAAAACGCCGTGATATTCTGTGATAGCGTAGCGCTTCGGCAAAGTTGCGCTTAGTTCGGCCGGAAAAATGATCGGTGCCACTTTTTTGATTATTCTCGATAACAACGAGACTCGCGTCGGCTGTCTCGTCAAATTTCTCAGACACGAGAGAGCGTCTTCTACCGAAACGCAACTGCGACTGGAGCACGTCGCTCGCGACGTCCCTTGAAGAGAGACCAGACAAAGGCGCGTGTTTAATGTCGCACAAAAACGATGCACTTCGCGAAATCCGATCGCGAACACGATTCGCGCTCTACAGCGAGCAGCAACCTACGTAAAACCTGTGACCTGTGACATTGTGATGTGTAGTCAGATTTCGAGATATTGTCGCGCGAGTGCGCTAGCGCGTACTGATTTAATTATCCGTTTAATTGCGCCGAGCCGGTACATTCGAGCGAAACTTCTCCAATGTACATCGTCAAGTGTGTTTATAAAAAAGAGTGAACGCGCCGTCACGACGAGGTGAAAAAGTGCAGAAAGCGACGGACGGGTGAACTCGTTAAGTGCATCATCTCTATTATTAAACGACACGGCTACCGTGCGCCGGTTAATACAGCGCCGATCAAGTCCGATCGTATGTATAGGGCCAATGCGGAATCGTTCTTATTACGGTTGGAAACGATGTGCCGCGCGCGCGCGCGATGCATATGTGCAATAAAATCACGCGAGCGGGAGTGGCCGACGTATGTTGTTCAATTGAATTCAACGCGAATGTCGATGACGGAATGACACTCGCGGATATCGATTCATTCGTTCGTTCGCTCGTCCGTCCGCTCGCTCGCTCGTTCGTTCGTTCACGGTCAGCCTCCATTGTTTTGCCGCGTGCGCCCACATTTGTGCTCTCAATCGCGGCGAATTTGCATTAATGAGCGATTATGCGTGCGCCGCGTTTTACGGATGCACACGGAAATGTCGGTTCGACCGTCAAACACTGCAAACACACACCTCGCAGCGGTGTATCGTAGCGTGTGAGGTCGCGGAAAGCCAAATTACGCGCGAATACTGATTAATGAAATATCCCCCCCCCCCTCCTTCTCACAACGTGAGTGACATCTCAAGGATGTCATTAATCAAGTCCGCGGGATATGTTAAGGCCTTAGGGCATCTTAGCATTTTCAAAAAATCGAATTTTTTGAGTTTAAAATGTTCTTTATAATCTTAAAAACAATATACGACTTGACCCAACACTGAAATTTGTAAAGCTGGATTAGAGCCGATTGTGTGAAGCGCCTTTCTCAACGCTCAAGCTGCTTAGGACGCTATTAAACCGATATATACGGATTTAAGCAGTGATGATTTATTAACTCGTTGCTTAGGTGAATATATTCAAAGTAATAACGAGTGCTTTAACTTAATTCTTTGGTCCTTAGCTCTAAAATCTACATCGAGCGGCAAGTTATTAGTAGACATTGCTGATGTTAGAGTTATTAGTAGACAGCAGCTGAGGTCGTTGTACTAACTTTCAACCATGGACTTAGAAATTTTATGAAAGTAATGGAAGTGCTAGGTTCCATGCTTATGAAAATTGGCAATAACTGCTATAATTTTTGCGTCAAGCCGCATATATTCCGCGAAACGCAGTATGACAGAGACTACTAAAACCGCTCGAAAAGCTTCTACATTGACTAGGAAAAAGAAGGACGAGGCTAATACCAATCTGGAAGGGCAGCTATATGATGATGGAATTGCGGAATAAAGGTATATTTTGAATTTCTTTTTCTATTAAAATATAGTAACATAAAACTTTAAACGCGTTTTTCTCAAAACGACATTTTTCAAATCGGCACGCAGCATAACTTAAATAATATTCAACCGTTTCACTTGAAATTTTTTGACAGAATCTTTAAAACTAAATTATCTAAAGAAGTACATATGGATTTTTTGATACATTAAAATTTTCAAACTTGCAGATATTTTTCTACAAATTATTTTGCTTAATATGGCGTTTTCAAATGCTCACCATTTTTATAAAAATAAATTTTTTGACATATCCGTAAGTACTTCTCTAGTAAAGGACTTTGCACAAACCTTATGGAAATTGAATTTCGATCGAATTGGCTGAAGATTTGATATGTTGTAGATCTTGTCATCCTGATAAAATGTCTCCACAGGTACGAATGAACCGTTTGACCTCTACGAGGCGTCATTTTTCTAAACGGACTAATACTACAGTACCTTATTTTCAACGGGTACGGTGCATTCCTACATCATTATTTGTACTTTCTATGTATTTTTTTAAGTAAAAAGTTATAAAGATATTATTGACTTTATCGCTTCTTACAAAAAAGTTATAACGATATCGAAGTCAATAACTTGATTTTAGAGATTTAAGTCAATGCTGTGTTATTTCATGTCTAGAGCGAGAAAAGAAATGGACACAATCATAAGGCGTACGCGAAGAACCGCTGCACGATTTATTTATATTGAGCAGGCCGTGCGCCAGTCGATATTGCTTTCTCATTTCAGCGAATACCCGACCTGCACGCAGCGAATCTTTGCGTGCGTCCCGAGATCGTACCTGAACTTCTGCGACTTATTAGTTCTTTTCAAAGCTACTCTTTAAATCAGTTGTTTTCACAACTACTCATACTATTAATTCTTATCAATTAAATATTTCTTCCTTCTAAGAAAATAATTTTTTAATAAAAACTTATTTTTCTATTAAATCTCGTAATACAAAATTTTTTTTCTTTCATCATGATCAAAAGAAATCTAATTCCATGTTTTATATGCGACAGCGCATTAATACCTCGTGTTATGGTAAAACTGATTAGTGGAAATAATGCTATATGCAATAATATAATAATCAAGCATCCCAATTTTATGAGAGGCAAGGGAATTCACAATAATCAAGCACCCTGATTTATGAAAGGCGAGGGGACTCACAATAATCAAGCATTCTGACTTGTAAGAAGCAACCTAGTCAATATAGCTTTCTTTTTTATCCTTATAACTTTTTACTTAAAAAAATACATAGAAAGTACAAATAATGATGTAGGAATGCATTGTACCCGTTGAAAATAAGATATTGTAGTATTAGCCTGTTTTAAAAAATGACGCCTCGTAGAGGTCAAACGGTTCATTGTAAGGGGTCGTACCTGTGGAGACTTTTTATCAGGACGACAAGATCTACAACATATCAAATCTTCAGCCAATTCGACCGAAATTCAATTTCCATAAAGTTTGTGCGGGGTCCTTTAATGTAGATTATGAAAAAATGTTGTGACTTATTCCAGGTTCAGATGCCGACGACTTCTGCTGCGTGCCGCGGAAAGCCTTTTTAAAAAACGCACAAAAGTGGACAACTCCTACGCCGCCATTTTGTACCTTAGAAATCTAAAAAATTTTTTTTGTATACTCGAGCACTTATATATTCATAATATTAAATTAGATTTTTATTTTACTTCACTGTTTATTTATAAAAAATTGCCGAAAACATGCTCTTTTGGAAGCGTCAAAGTGGCCTAAGGCCTTAATGAACGGTCGTCTTAATGCACAGTCGCCAAATGTATCATGTCGATAACGAAATCGAGAATAAATCTAATGAACTCTTTCGCTATCATATATATGTTTTCCCCACAATATTATTATTAATATCCAATAATTTCAATATTATTATTAATATTCAGTAATATTGAATAAAGCTTTTTCGCATTCGGAACACACATAGAACACACCAGCCATCACTTTACTTATCACCATTGTGACCAATATGCCCTCCCAAAAACCTCAGTAGGACATCAGTGTCTCGATCCTATCCCTCTAGCGCTAAATATAAAACTTTTAATTTTTTTTCTGAAACTACATTATATTGACGTATTTAATAAAGTAGAGTAAAAAAAATTGTATCTTTGAAAAGTAAAATTGAAAGCGAAAGGATTAACGGACAATGTGGAACAAGTGATCACCAAGGCAGCATTAACTTCCTAAGTTTTGAATTTTCAATCTTTATTCTGAATTCCCTCTTATCGATAAGAGTGTCATGATGAATTCAGTGATGATTCAAAATGAATGCGCGTCCTCCCACGGCGGGATTTTCTTTTTCTTTTAATAAATATATATATCTAGATTTCTTTTCTCCTTATTATAATTTTCATTGAAGAAAAATAGAATGAAAAATGTAAGTAATTTGTACTTGCTATGGATTCAAGAAAACACAATAGTTTCAGTAAATCAGAAGGAATTTAATATTTTTCCGCGAAACTTCTCCGCGAGCATACCACTTAAGGAACTTAATGTGACTGAAAGCCAATCAAAAGGCTTACATTCAGCTACATTCAGAAACATTTTTATCGATAAAAGAGAGTTTTCACAGAATAAGAGCCTTTGTCTTATTCTCAAGTTTTATTCTGCTTTGCTTATATATTTCGCATTATATTATTATGTAATTTCGAGTTTCTCCGCCTTGCATTTACCAAGTTTCAGGAGGAGAAAGAGGCTGATGAAGAGAACGGGAGCTTTCGTCTAACGCGACGGCAACTTTTCTCCGATAGGAAGTGATAGCGAACGTTTCCTATCGATCGTACTTTATCGGCGAGGAACCGACAGTCGCGCTATTTTCTAGTTCGTTTGGCAATGCTAGTAGGGAAAACATCGTTGCGTCACTCTCTCTAAAACGCTGTAATGGTCCCTTTATTGGCTGAAATGTCGAAGGAGCGCGCCGACCGCCTTCGTATTTGCCCAGCCGCTGCGGCGCGCTGTTTCCGTTCGACTACTAAATCCACGTTAGCCGACTTAACCGAGAACCGTAACGCTCGATTGCAAGTGCACGAGTGCCAGTCAGTCAGTCAGCCAGCCAACTGCACCGAAAGTTCCCCGGTCGAGTGCCACGTTTGAACAGGTGCTCCAAGTTTATGAAAGTCTAACGCACTCTGCTCCTTTTGCTTTCATCGCGGAGGGGCAATTACACGCGCTTACTATCTCGAGACACGATGACAGTTCTATGCCACGTCGTGTTCGTCAAACGAAATTTCGAACATCCGTGGTCGGTAGCAGCGATAAAGTGCGCGAGACCTGGAGCAACACAACTCAACACAACTCAGCATCGAGCGCTACGCGAGAGTTCGGTACTGACTGATGTATGCTCGTGGGGGTGTTCGGCCAAGAAGCGATCGCCAATACCGCAGCCGAGATATCATTCGACTGTAATCCAATACTAAATCAATACTGGAGGCTGGTGGCAGGTTGGTATCGGAAATTCGGCAGATAGTAATAGCAACCGCCGTAAAATTAACGGTGCACGGAGAAAATTACTATACAGGGTGACCCAGAATAATGTTTAAAGCTCTCGTGTAGTACGAATTAAAGTAAACATAAAAGTCTTGTACCATTTTGCGATATTCGCAATAATTATTCAGATGTTAATTAAGGAAAATTTGTGAATGACTACGCGAAATATGATAGATGAGCTATAGTGGCGACATCTACTGTCGTGTGCATTAGGTCAAACTGAACAAAAAAGGCCTCTACCCAGCAAACACAGAACATAACTGTGATATAACACAGGAGTAACATGTAATATAACTGCTGTTATACATTATTAATATTGAGGTTACTTAATTTCCTTTATAACTGCGATATAACTATATTATAAAACTGTTATGTTATTATGTTATTTACTGGTTAAGTTACATCAACAATATAACAGCAACATAACTTTAATATAACATGTTATATAAGAAGTCTAATGTTTGCATTAAATTTCAGTTGTGCAATATTTTTATACACAAATGTAAAATTATATTTTAGGTGTTTCTCGTATATAAAATGTGATATTTTAATATATGCAAGGATCGCTATAACGATATTGTAAAACTAGAGTTCTTACAAAGAGTCTAATCATAACCTTACTCTGTCAAAGTATTGTGAGAGAGAAAGAAGGAATATTCTCTCTCTTTTGCGAGTTGTAGGTTAAAATTTGATTACTGATACAACATTGTATCAATATTAATCATATTGTGATTGTCGTGTCAAACATTTACCAACAAATGTGTCATAACATTTTTTGAACGATATAAGAATATATTGTAAATATTATCTATCAAGAGAGAGATATCGTTACGGCGCATCAGCATCACCAGTTCCCTGACGATCATTGAAGTTAAGCATTGAACAACATGATCTAAAAATGGGTGCCCGCCTGACATAGGATCGAAACCACGCGAGTTTCACGAATAATTGAAATAATACGGAATATAAAATGTCAGTTTTTTTTTTAATTATTTAGACAAAATAATCATACATTATCACTTATCTGAACCATACTAATGAATAAATCGTTGGAATTCAACAAAAAAATATGTGTTAATTTGCTAACAAATAACATATAACTTTTATATAACTTTTTAGTTACATGTTACTTTTAAGTTATATTCACGTTATATAACTGTAACACGTGTGAGTAGGAAATTACAACGAACATCTATATAACCTACTATATACATGTTATATTGCATGTTACATTCCGTTTCATTACGGCAATGTAACTGTTATATATCTGTGTTTGCTGGGTATCTTTTTCCTAACTTTATAGATTTTTTGCACAGATGTCTATACTAAACTAGATTACTAACCAGGGCTTCGGACTTGCGTCACATAAAGTTCCCGGTTGTATGCAAGAAAATGGCGGCGGTCTTGTGTGTGTGACATGTGTCACTTGTGTGAATATCTTTACAACGTACAGTGTGAATCAGCGTGGCCATTAAATTGCTGTTGTAAAACCAAAAATGCTAGCATCTTGTTGCAACAAAAAATGTTGTAATAAAAAAGAAGATGGTATTTAAGAAGGACATTATTTGCTCTGCTCAATTCAATAAAAGAATTTTATGACTAACTACATAGTGAAAATATGTGGTGGTTGCGGCCATTTTCTCGCATACACTGGAAACTCTATCAGACGCAAGCCATGCTATCCCATGATGACATGTTAACAATCTAGTTTAATATAGACATCTGTGGTTTTTTGTTATTAATTAGATAACATTAATATATTATCGCAAGCGGCGATCCACCAATCTTTTTTAACTAATAATTAATCGTGATCATCTTATAAATCTTCTTTAATTAATATCTCGATAATTATTGCGAATATCATAAAATAGGATATAGAAGTTTTGTATTCACTCAATCCATACTATATCTTTATGAGAGCTTCGTAAGTTGTTTTGGAACATCTTATATTTTATAATTAGAGAGGACATTTAAGTGATATCAAATAGATACGGCATTAAAATTTGCTGTTATTGTATGCCCATCTAAATAGTTGTCATAATACATAATGTTTAGTTATTATGTTTCAGTTACCATATTCAGTTACTTCGATCAAAGGGATATTGCTGTTTCACTGTTGTGGTTTGCGGAACAAATTGCCGTAATTATGTAAGAGCGACTCAACCCACATGAGATACGTTTCGAGAAAACTGAAAATGAAAATTCGATACGTGACTTAAAAGATATAGATAGTTCTAAAATTTTGCGAAATCCTTTAAGAAATCAAGCATGGTCGATTTCCTAATTCTTAAGGCTATTCATCGACAAGCTTAAGCCATGAAAAAACGAATAAAAAGGTGGAGTAATTAGTAGAAAGTAAAAACTGTTTTTTTAATTAATTTCAGGCGTCCGTCAGGCTTAAATCTTTTCTGTCTCGTATAAAAAAAGTATGGACACTACCCGTTGGTAAATGAAAAATTCAGAAATCATAATTTGACCGAATATACGATACAGAGATCCATAGGGTTTGGCTACGTCATACATCGCTGACGTATGGACTCAACACGTATAAAAGGAAACAGCAAAGAAGACCATCACACTTTCAGAGTGGTGTACTATAGTATGCGAAAAGTAACACTGATATTTTGTTGTGGCAATTCTATTTAGGCAAACGATTACCTTCACTTAAAAAAATTTTTTTTAACAGAAGTGGAATTCTCTAAATCTTAAAGGATTTTACTCTTATATTATAAATGGCCTCAAGAAGATTGCTTTGAAATCAAGAGAAAAATAATCTTAAACAAAATTCTTAAAGATAGAGGAATTTCATATTGAATGTACAGTGCAAATCTATTTGTTTTTTTAATTTAAATTTTCTCTTATATATTATTTCAACTCAAAAATATTTCTTCGGATTTAATAAATTTTATCACATCCACACGAAAGAAAGATCAGAAAACTTTGACCGGGGTGCTTGTGTGTATCTGTAGTTATCCAACTTTAATGCCATATGAGATGAAAAACATCAGACTCGGATGGGATCGAACCCAGGTTCTCTTCCGTTTGTCAGACAACCGCTTTTCCCACTGAGCTATTTAAGACTTCATGTTTATGACATCTATATACCCAGTGAAAAATGACTCGTTGATTAACGATATCAAACTGACGTCGGTTTGACGATTTCAATGTCGATTTGATTGAAATGTCGACAGTGAATTAACGGTGGAAGCTCTAAACGTGGCGCTTGGTTTCAACCAATCGTACACGACAGTACGCAGCAAAACAACAGTTCTTCGCGTCTCTCGTACTGCACGTAAGACGGCATTGTGTTTCAAATTAATATATTTGATATAGAGGAACATTAATATATTTGATATAGAGGAACACAATTAGAATAATATCTCATAAATGCACGATGACTGGTTCTCTTTAATGAAAGATGCTTTCTGTAAGATATTTCTTTT